GTCATTTCTTTCGATCTATTTTGACGGTTTTCAATAAATATGGACTCAAAGTATGGACTGACTAATCATGCGCCTCGATGAGCGTAGAGAACTTCACCATCCACAATGAATCGAAGTCACAAGTCTTGCAGTGTTTGTATCATTTTTAATACGAACCAATCTATGCAAAGTGATTCATTTGATCACATGTTTCATTCTTCACTTTGTCCAAATAGACATGCTTTTCGTTGGAAAATGGTGACCGTGAATTCTTTGTCATCGCGGCGTCATTGTTCATTGCATACAGCGAAGACTGGGTCCCTAACTCTCTGAGGCATCTTTCTCTATATATGGAATCTGGAACTGATTCGAGATTTGAAGATGGCAATTGTCAATTGTCCAGTGAGAGCCGAATCTTGGCCATTTTTTAAATTTTTTTTACGGTTTTTAATAAATATGGATTCAAACTATGGACTGACTGAACATAATGTGAGCGTAGAGAACTTCACCATCCACAAAGAATCGAACGTCACAATTCTTGCAGTGTTCATAGATTTTTCAATACGTACCGATCTCGGCAAAGTACTTCAATTGTTCACATGATTCATTCTTTACTTTGTCCAAATAAACCATACTTTTCGTTGGAAAACGGAGACAGTGAATTCTTTATCCTCTGTGTCATACAGTGAAGATTGGGTGGATAATGTCCTGAATGCGTGCCCGACTAAAGATGAATTGCGGGTAGACGTCTAGTAGGTTTGTCGATTGCCGACTCGTACAAGGAATTTGTTGACCAAGGGTTATGCCACCCCTCAGGAAAACACCAGTCTTACCTTAAAAAAGGGCAGCAAATACTAGATCTACATGCAGAATATTTGATGAGAAAGAACCATCAACATAAAGTTATGTTTTTTTTTAATTTAAAACCACGAGCAAATCAAAAAAAATATTAATAAATAAATAAAAAATAAATAAATAAAAATAAAATTAAATTAAAAAAAAAACATATAAAAGCATGAATTATATATACTTACTTGTGTTTGGGTCATGGATTTGATAAGTGTAATATTGAGGTGTCATATTAAAGTTGTTTTCTGTGGAGGCTAAATCTTCTCCAGAAGATGGGAAAATTTAAGGACTCGATCCATGGCGGTATCTGATGAGTTGAGAAATATCTTCCTCCGTAAATGCAATTTGTAGAAAGGGCATATCGAACTTCAGGGCTTTTATTTATCTCTTTTTTATGGTTTTCATTTCCTACCTCAGGAGATGTAGCTTGTTTCGAAAATGTGTCAGACTTACTAATATTTGCCACATTTTTGACTGCATTAGGGCGTACAATTCACCATGAACAAGTCCTGTGGGAGATTTTGAATAACTTGTTGGTGTCTCTAGTGGCTGAAAGGGACTTTGGACTTCATATCCCTTTTTGAATCAGATTCGAATGAATTATTAAGGAACGGGGAGTAGAGCTTGTTTCTCTCTTCTATACTGCACCTGCCATTCACAAGATGATGGATGTCTTGGTTGGATATGGGTACCAAGTCTTTAGGTCATCTTCTTTCTCCAGTATGTGGCGCAAAACTTTCCAATTCCGTTCTTCTTAAAGATTGTTGGGGTATATTCGTAAGAAGACGGATGAATACAGTGAAAACTGTGTCCCTAACTCTCCGAGGCATCTTTCTCTTATATATGGAATCTGGGACTGAATAGAGATTTTCACTAAATCCAGAATAGTTGACGATGTTACCTTCAACTGTCCAGTGTAAGCAATATTCAAGAAGGCCTTTAGGGGATGTATTGACAATCCCCTAAGCCGAATATCGGTCATTTCTTTCGATCTATTTTAATTTTACGGTTTTCAATAAAATTAATGTGGACTCAAAGTATGGACTGACTAATCATGCGCCTCGATGAGCGTAGAGAACTTCACCATCCATAATGAATCGAAGTCACAAATCTTGCAGTGTTTGTATCATTTTTTTGATACGAACCAATCTGTGCAAAGTGATTCATTTGATCACATGCTTCATTCTTCACTTTGTCCAAATAGACATGCTTTTCGTTGGAAAATGGTGACCGTGAATTCTTTGTCATCGCGGCGTCATTGTTCATTGCATACAGAAGATGGGCTAATTTAAGGACTCGATCCATGGCGGTATCTGATGAGTTGGGAATAAATATCTTCTTCCGTAAATGCAATTTGTAGAAAGGGTATACCGAACTTCAGGGCTTTTATTTATCTCTCTTTTATGGTTTTCATTTCCTACCTCAGGAGATGTAGCTTGTTTCGAAAATGTGTCAGACTTACTAATATTTGACACATTTTTGACTGCATTTCACCATGAATAAGTCCTGTGGGAGATTTTGAATAACTTGTTGGTGTCTCTACAATTCACCATGAATAAGTCCTGTGGGAGATTTTGAATAACTTGTTGGTGTCTCTAGTGGCTGAAAGGGACTTTGGACTTCATATCCCTTTTTGAATCAGATTCGAATGAATAAGGAACGGGGAGTAGAGCTTGTTTCTCTCTTCTATACTGCACCTGCCATTCACAAGATGATGGATGTCTTGGTTGGATATGGGTACCAAGTCTTTAGGTCATCTTCTTTCTCCAGTATGTGGCGCAAAACTTTCCGATTCCGTTCTTCTTAAAGATTGTTGGGGTATATTCGTAAGAAGACAGATGGTTTTTGTCCTATTTTTCCGATAACTTTTAAAATGATTTTTATAAAGAAATAAAACTTTCATTATATGATTGAATTGAAATGTTAATTTTCACAAATGCCAAGTTTTAATGAAACTAAAGATATTAAAAATCAAAATTTTGACTTAAGTCTGTTATCAGTTTATGGTCTTGGGGGCAGATCTGTTTTCGTCCGTCGTCGTGTGGTGTGCGTCGTGTGTTAACATTTGATCATTTTCAGCTTCTTCTCTGCAACCACTCAACCAATTTCCACCAAATTTGACATCAAGCATTTATTGGTGAAGGGGAACAAAAATTATGAATTTCATGGTTCCTCCCCCCGGGGGCCTGAGGGGTGGGGCCAAACCCACTAAATTAATGCAATCTTTAAAAATCTTCTTCTTTACTCCTTGACATCAAGCAGTCAAACTGTTAGCATGAATGTAATGAACATTGAGTCTTCTACCAAAATTGGGAAATGCATGGCACCAGGGTCAGGGGTTCTAGTTCTAGGGTGGGGCTCTATAAATTATATAGTGAAAATGCATTATTTGATTTATTTCTTCAAAAATCTTCTTCTCTGCTCCTGGGACTTAAAAACACTAAGTACATAGTTATTGTGAGGAAAAATGCCTCTTCCAAATTTGTGAATTTTATGGTCCTAGGGTCAGGGGTTCTGGTCTTAGGGCGGGGTTTTATTGATTATATAGTGAAAATACATTAAATATTTGAAAATCTTCTTCTCTGTTCCGTTCCTGCAATTAAATAAACTAACTAAGCACATAGTTATGATGAGGAAGAATGCCTCTTCCAAAATTGAGAATTTAATGGCCCCAGGGTTAAGGGTTCTGGTGTTAGGGCGGGGCTCTATTGATCTATATACGAGTATATATAGAGAAAATGCAGAAATTCTTTGAAAATCTTATTCTGTGCTCCCGGGTATTAAACAAACTGACTAAGTGCATACTTGTGATGAGGAAGAATGCCTCTTCCAAAATTGAGAATTTTATGGCCACAGGGTCAGGAGTTCTCGTGTAAGTGCGAGGATCTATTGATCATATAGAGAAAATTAAGAAATTCTTTGAAAATCTGCTTCTCTGCTCATGGGTCAGGCGCGTATCCAGAAATTTTTTCCAGGGGGGGTCCACCCCAGTCAAAAAAAAAAATCCAATCCCAGAAATTTGTTGACAAGCAAAAAAAAAAAAAAAAAAAAAAAAAAAACCTAAAATCCCCAAACGTCAAAAACCTATTTCGGGGGGTGGGGGGTGTATTACTGGTGACTTCTACTGCCTCAAATCTTTCACTTTTCATACCCATTTCACACATATTCGAGTTTACCAGTGGGTGTCAGCGTTTTCCAGGGGGGGTCCATGGTAACTTTTTTCTTGTTTTAGTATATACATTTTTTAACCTGGTACATTCCAGGGGGGGTCCTGACCCCCCTCTAGATCCGCGCATGTGGGTATTAAACAAACTAACTTACTTTATAGTTATGAGGAAGAATGCCTCTTCCCAAATTGTGAATTTTATGGCCCAAGGCAGGCCCAGGGTCAGGGGTTCTGGTATTATGGCGGGACTCTATTGATTATAGTGAAAATACATTAAATCTTTGAAGATCTTCTTCTCTGCTTCTGAGTATTAAGCAGATGAACTACCTATATAAAGCTATGATGAGCTTCTTGTTGTATAATAATTACAGTCCCGTAGAAAGCAATATCATTGGGGGCAGTATATATTCAGTCCCCCACCTTCACCCCTCCCCGCGGTTCGTACGGCCATGATGAGACCTACACACAAAAAAGAGCACAAGAAATATTATAAGAGAAGAAAGCAAATAAACAATAGAAAGCAATAGATCCAAAAGATAGATAACAGAGTCATGATAGAGAAAGTTGTCATACAGAAGTAGAAATTATATTACCATATATGTACAATGTACATTAATCATAATGATGACATACATGTACATAGAGATATAATTATGTACGCTGTTTTCATGCGAAAATTCCGAAGCCTTCGAAATAAAATAAAATAAAGCTCTTTGCACAACTAAATCATCTTGCATTAATCACATAAAAAGCGGTCATCTCATATGGCACCATTTAAGCGCTAAATACAGTCCTGTCCTAAATTTCTAAAAATAGAAAACGGTAGTAAACGGTAAATAAGCTCATAAACATCTATTTTATCTTGCAAGATTACTTTGCAATTGCAATGCACAAACGTTTGTGTGACTTTGTGAACTTTGATCCAATTGAAGTTCATAATTTGTGTATCAATTTTGCAAAAAATGCTAAATGAAGACGTAGAATGAAACTTGTCAATGCTATTTTTAGAAAATAGAATTTTGTAACGATACATGGGAATTCCCCGTATGTTAGAAAGCACGCAAAACTATTGGTTGTTTCGTACCTCGTGACTAGGGACTTTCCCAATATGCAATTTTTCATGGAGGTGTAATGGAAAGAACTACGACACGAGAAAATACTTGGAATTTTAGAAAACTGTTTGAAAGTATACCGTGTGTTTCTGATCCCCATCGTTTTCATGGGGGAGAATGACGATTGTGGACACCAATAATGCTAATAACAACGTCGATAACATGAGTAAGAGGGCTAAAACAAAACCAAAAGTAAGAGCGAGTGTAGGGTCTGAGATGACGCGGAAAAATGTCGACGACAAGGAGAGCGCCGACCGCATTGCTGCTGCGGAGGCCATGTCATGTCTGTCGTCAACGCCGTTCATACTGCCATCTTCAGAAACAATTTCCAAGGCTATGGCGGGCCAAAGTGTTAAACCGGATCCATCTGTAAACAACGACGAACTAGTGCACGCATCCACGTCTGTTTCCAAGAGGGGGAAATCCAGAAATCGTGGTCGCGGGGGTAAGCGTTCTCCTTCAAAACAAACCCATACAAATACTTCACTCGAAAGTAATACTGCTGTAACTCAGAGAAATGCAGTGGCATCAGTTGCTGAGATCTCCAAAACTAAATCAGTACCTCAAAGTACAGTTGTCACGTTAAATACAAGTACTAGTACATCAATATCACATGCATCATTAATAGCACAACAATTAAGCAATCTCGTTAAGATGCAGAAAGAAAAACAAGAGAATTCTATGCCATCACATTCCAATATCAAGTTTTCCCTTCAGCAAATGTTGGAGCTAAAAAAGGCCCAAGGCCACGAACAGTCGCAAACATCAAATAATGCAGTTCTAAAACTCCCTTTAACTGTGTCAACAACTGATTCAAGCCTTGCGCGTGAAGCAGGTAGTCCTAATTCTATTATAAGCAATGAAAGTATAGAATTGCCTCAAACGACTGTGGATCACATTTTGAACCCAAATAAATATGACACGCCGGAGGCATCGTTACCCCTGAAGAAGAGGCGGCTACAGACGTACAAAGATGGGGAGGTACCCCAGAAAGACAGTACTTCCCCCTCCCAGTCAGTGGTGGATCTGACCACAGATAAAGAAGACAAATCTAAACAACAGCAGGGTAATCATTTCAATCTCTTTTGTATACAATGTATATATAGGTACTTCATGCAGTTGTGAATAGCATTGTTTTTATTATCATATATATTGCAAAAAAAGTGAATATTTATTTTCAGCATATTTTATATAAATGCCAAGTGCCTGGAATATCTTCCTTAATGCTGAACACATAAGGCCTAAAAATAAAAATCATATATATATTTTTTTAATATATAAATTTAAAATGTATGAAAATGCATAAGTTAAAGTAATGATCATTGATCATTTTGATATCTGCAATTTTTTTTTTTAATTTATTAATTTACAACTTATCATCCAGTATGCGTTGAACTTTCCCTTAGCTTATTACCACTCCAATGATCGTGCAGATCAATAACAACTGTGCGACTGAAATAGGTATATCTTGTAAGCTTAATTTATATGGCAAGAGTCCAAAAATAGCAAATGTAAGGGTCAGTATATTAGATTGAAGGATGGGAATTTACCTACTTTGCCTCAACTTAAATCATAAATCAAGAAGAAGACAAGCATATGTACAACATTAGCTGCATTACCTTTTGATTATCTTAACAATATATGTAATAAATGAAAAATCATATGTGCTTGGATTTGGACAGAGAGCTTCTTATGTTTGTAAGGAATAATTCTAAAGGTTAACCCATGAGTGGGTAAATATTGAAGCCCAAAAGCACAGTTTTTGCTGAAGTGGGGTGAATGCCAAATGGGATTTTTAAAACTCTTAGTCATATTATATATCTGTATTTGTTAAAAAGATTTAAAATATTCAAAATTGAAAAGACTTTAAACAATGTCAGATGTAGCCTGCAAATTCACAACTGGTTATTGTCAATATTGTCAATAACCCAACCCCCTACCCCCTGATCATATTAGCTAGTTTATAACAGTATATAACTTAAACATTTAATACATAATGGTAAAATGCCACAATTTATTCTTCATTGTTTACATAAACAACTCTAACTAATTTGGTTCTATTTTAATAGCACACACATGCATATTGCCTTCCCTTTTTTATAGGCACTGCAAAAAAATTGATCGTCAAAAGTGTAAATATTTTTATTTAATCAATTCTTGGCCTAGCTGTTATCACATGTACCTCACAAAACACTTATGTAGTGTCAGATTTGTGTAAAATCAGGACTCTTTGTTGATGGTAGATACTTTTTTCAAAAAGTCAGAAAAGGTGTGTTTAACTGTTTATTGAGATTTTTATTCTCTCACAATTTTGTGATGAAAAAAAAATTAACTTAGCCAAAACTGTGTCAATTCCATAAATTAACTTTTTTAAAATACGGTAATCACTCATGACTGTGTCTGATAAAGTAACTTGTGTAATAGAATAATGTTTGATACTATTAAAGAGTCAGTTTGTGTGTATAATACCAATCCTATACTTTGTAATTGAGCATGTGTAAAATTGTAATAGTGTTAATACAAGGTCTGAATAATTAATAATTTAAAATAGGACTTGTAAAATAAAATTGAGCCCAAAATGGCTGGAGATGAAAACAAATTGCATTAATTGTGCTCATAGTAGATAACTAGGTATATCAGTTAACATTTACATGACCTTGGAAATGAATGGTGCTTAAAGAAAGGCATATATAGCATTTTCAACTTGGCTAATTTTGTACATACTAAAGTAGCCAGGTCACTTAATGCTTAATCAACTGATAATTTTTATCTATGGACTAGTACACAAAGTTTTAGAGAGCATGTGAATTTATGGGGCTACCACATGATAAAGACCAAAACCCCACTAACACGTGATCCATACAGGTAGAGGGATTCTATTTATAACCCGGATTTAAATATACACTAGAATGTATACATCTTGCCTAACCATCCGTGTAGAATTGATTTGTAGTACGGCAGTTCATTCTGAAAGCAATTTTTTTAAAAAATCGTTTGGGAAAACCAGATTTGCAACACAAATTATTTTTGAACGTTTTATCTCCTGATTTTGGACATTTAAACCAGCTGGCATAACTCGTGCATACCTTTGTATTCATGTAAATGACTCCTCTTGTGCAAAAAACATTTACTTAAGTACAACATAAATGTCATTTAAGTTCCTTTTCAGGAATGTCTAAAAATATAAATGATACACAAGTATAGAATTACAGAAATCGCGCCCTTCAAAAAATTGTCCTTTTGGGTTAAAGAGGTACAATGTATTGTTATTAAAAAAAAATTGCAAACTGATTTTTAATTAAAAAATTTCTACAGGAAATGCATTGTGTATGTTCATCAGTATAAAAAAAAATCCTATTATGTTTTATTGCAAATATTTTGTTCTTGTAGGCCTTTGCATATTGCTGTGGCTCAGGAAAACACTGTAATGGTCCAAAAATTTGTCCACTTAATGACCATATCCGGCAAGAGTGTGGACAAGTATAACAAATCACAGCAGGTAATAAGTTTATAAGTATAATTTTTAATAAATTACTTAGAGTGCAAGTAATTTATGGATAGAGATAAAAGCATTATATTTTTATTTTAGACTTTGGATACATGAATTGCAGTATAAAGCTTGCATATATATTATTCTTGTTTTTGCATACAGTATATACACATTTTTATGTTTTTAACTATATAACTATTGATTCATTTATTTTAATTAAACATGACAGCTGTAAGGCACATGGAATTCTGATTCATCCGACTTTTTCTATGAAATAAAAATATTTGGACCAATGGTTGAAGCAGCTAGTGCTTCATTGTCATGATTTAATGATTCATTAAGTAAATGTTGCTGCATTAGACTATAGTGATAAACAAATAATCAATAATTTTAAGTGTTAATTTACCAGGAAATTTCCATATTACTCTAAATTAAGGAGAATGTTAAGACTGAAAGACCATCTATGAAAAACTTTGAAGTGAAGTAATCAGTATAATGGTTATCTCCCTTATCACATCTTCAGCAGACTGCTCTCATATTTGACCTTTTATTATATTTAATATATTATAGTTTGCTCACCTGAGCTGAAAGCCAGGAGAAGGGTAAATTCTAAAATTTTGCTTCCACACTTAAATTTTCCAAAAGACAATTTTAATTAAAATACCAGACCAAAGGATTTGACAATTTTATATAGGAATAATATACTGTTGACATTCTTTTTTTTTGTGGGGGATTAATTTACGCTATGAATGCGGTCACAAAAAATATGTGGAAATTTGTCACAGCATATTTAATGTGCATTTAGAAATGAAAATACATTAAATTGATGAGGTTATAAAAAGGTACTTATATAGAATTAAATCGTAGGTATACTTGTATATTTTCTATGTATTATCTATTCATAATACATGTAGGTGCAAACAACGTCAAACTTGCAAAGATGTTTTAAGAATATACAGAATAATCACTTCATTCTCTGAATTTTATATTTTGTTGCCTATTAATATGCTTACATAAAATTTGATCTCCCCTCCCACAATTTGAGATAACAGCACGTCACACAACTATTGTTCTCAAGTGGATCTGATTACATAGATGCTAAGACCCACTCTCTACCATCTGCTCATACATTCTGAGAGAGGAACAAACAACAACTCTGCATGGGAGATTGGCGTAAGACCCATGTTTTACTGCAGTTTTAAGATACCTTTACCTGATTTAAATGGATTTGAACGCAAAAATTGGCTACTAATAAAGTAGCAAAACGAATCAAATCACCAAAATCAGTTACTTCTGAAAAAAAAATCACATTTATATGCGTGACAGCACAAATTTAGCTATTTAAAAAAAATGTCACTTTTTTACTCTTGAAAGAATCCCCGTTTCCCCTAACCTTGAACAAAGGTTTCTGTTTGAACGGACTGTGTGCATTGATCCGCCACCCAACAACAACAGGAACAGGCTTCAGTGTTGATAATTGTAGTAGATGAACGTGTGTATGAACTGCATTTTTCCAGTGAGTCAGTGTAATATTCAGAAAAAATATTCTTTATCTGTTTTTCTTTTAAATCGTCATTTCTAGTGAGATCCTAGTCGACAAGAGCATACTCCGTATGTATGTTGTTCTGAGCAGTACTCACAAAGTTGATCTTCGAAAATGCAAAATATGCACAGAATATAGTTGCATTTAAGAAAAGCCTTAATGATTTTTCTCTCATATATTTCAATGTGGGGTTAACTAAAAAAAATTTGACATGTCAAATATCCACATAATTTTTTTACCTGCAGATTAAATTGATATTGTGATCCCGTGGATTTATGATCCCCTGGAAAAAAGTAGGTCTATACAGTACAGCCTACTAAGGGTTATCATTCTTATCAGGTCACCAATAAACCTTAATTTATGTAAGATTTCTCGTCCTGATGATCTCATAATCTCTCTTGAGAAATATGTGAACTCTCAGAGTTTCCTTTTTTCCAGACCCCCCTTCACATTGCCATTGAGTTACAGTTTGACCAGGCTGTGTCGGTCCTCCTAATGGCAGGAGCTAATCCTTCGCTGGTCAACAAACAGGGGGACAGCTCCATACACCTAGCCATCAAACACAACACCATCAACAGTCTGGCCATGATGCTCATCAAAAGTCAACACAAGACAGATATCAATGCCAGGAACTTTGAAGGTATGGATGCTGAATAGTTTTTTTTTTCTGTATCTTTAACTCACATACAAAAAGGTTTGTCCAATCCAGGTTTTTCAAAGAGGGAATTTAATGTGTGCCATAGGGACAGCCTACATATACAACCTACCCCCTGTTTTCATGCAAAAGATTTTACTTAGTATTTAATTGTCCATCAAGAATTTATTACATTATATATTGCACAAATTATTAGCTGTCAAAGAAGTGGGTGTCATTTTAGATACCCTTAAATTCCAATTCTCTGATAAAGGATATTGTTCTCCTCTGTGGTATTAAAAGACCAATGCATGAAGGAATTTCTAGGATCATTATGAAATCATCTGCACGATTAATATCTCATGTACGTTAATGCCCCGTAGTTCAACCCAAAATCTAGAGCTATTGGAGATTACCACTGGGGTCCATAGTTTTTTACACTGTAAGATTAGAAATTTGAAAAATGAGAAAAATCTGGCTTTTGAAGACTAAAGTATACAGTAAGTTTAACATTGAATTTGATTTATTGACATCATATTGTTTTTCTTAACAAGTCAAGTGATAAACAATACATGTAGCTACCGCATGCAAAACAAATTCAATTTCACTCAGTTCCTCAAGTTCCATGGATTTGGTTTTTCTGCAGGCATGAAGAAAAGGTCTATTAAAATAGTAACAGAAACATTATACAGTATTACAATTCTATATATTTATATATATACCACCTGCCCACCCATTTTTTTATCGGAAGGTGGCAAGAAATTTTTTACCATTGTTATAAAAAGTAAGCGTATTTTTTTAAAGGGCACTTATATATACAAAACTTTAATATTCTAATTCACGATAATGATAAAAATTTTTGCACATAATGAAGAGAACAAGTTTCCATTTTCATAAACTAAAATAATACAGTGTTAAAACATTTTTTAAAGTTTCACAACATGTTTATAATTATAGATAAATGTTATCTAGCTAAGGATAGGTACCATGCTTTTATTCCATTAAAGCTCGTTATAAAATGTATTTTAATTAAGGCTTGTGGAGTGTCTTTTGACAAATTACAGTGTTGAGGACCTTGACTTTGAAAACAATTAGTAAATTAGGAGCACACTATGGAACCTGTATTTCCCTATACAAATAAACAAGCAGTTCTACATTTTTGTAATGTTATCTTAGTACAAAACCTTTCTCTTTAGCATTTTCTGCTTTCAACTTTAAATAGTACACTTTATTTTTATTTGGAAAATTCTTTAATTTAACGTTGAAAGAATTTAAATCTGTAAGGTTTTTGAAATTTTGTTGACATTTAAGAAGATATAAACACAAGGACAGCTGCATATTAGGCCTCCTTAGCATCAGAAACAAAGACAGACACACAAGATTTACATGCCTGCATGTCACGCCTCCTTAGCTCCTGATGTATCGTTTGGGGAAATTCTGGTAGAATGATCAAGAAATCAACTTTATCAGCTTTCAAAGAGTTATCACAGAGAAAAACAAATAGAAATGGAAATATTTTAGGATAAATGCCCAATAAGTCACTTGCCTTTTTGTTGGTCTAGAACAGGCATACTTTTTTAATCTATTGGTCAGAGACCAGAAGATCTTATGTAATATTAGTTAGGCGTCCAGTATCCATTTTCCTGTATTGTCTAAAAAAAATTTTTTTCTAAATACCAGTCATCCTACAGCTTTGGTCCAATTTCAATATAACTATATATAAGACACAAGAAGATCTCACTGAGACTTATAATAATTCCATAAAACTTTTTACACAAGTAGGGTACAATTAGATCCATTTAAATTAAATTAACTGTTTCACCATTGTTTCTATTAATTTTTCAAATATTCTTTCAAAAGGTCATTCTTTCAAATATTTTAATCAAAACACTTTTAAACTTTTCATACATAAGGAATAGAATAAGGGTCTTATTATTCTATTTATTGAATTTGAGTTTCAAGTCCAAATACTACCTCTCTCTTCCTTTGTTACTAGTACAAACCAACAGGCAGTGTTTCTCCTAAGAACCCGCTAACAGCCAATTAAAACTCTTCAGTTGATAAATACACTATTTTGAAATCAAAATTTGAAAAAAAAAAATTATTATAAGATACACATTTTGCTAAAACCTCAACACCTAAAGCGTTTACATTCAGTGGATCTCTGTAAACCTTTACCTTGAAATTCATTATATTAAGTTTGTACGAAATTTGGTTAAAATTGATTTTTGAATAAGTTGGTGTAGGTCTGTTTTATTGCATTTTTTTATATTCATATTAGTTTTGTACTTGATTGAGTTATTGGTTGCTGCTTTCCAAAGCTGTTGAAAAGAATACACAATCAAATATAAAAGGTTTACAGTATAGGGAAAACACTGATAGAGCTACAGTCTCATCTGAGACTTCAGATTTTCCAGTAGAGTTATCACAAGATTACTAATAAATTTGATAATTTGAATGTAAATTTACAAATGTCACTGAATATTTGGCCATTTTTATTGCAGTTCTTTAAAAATGTTTTTTAATAACACATGTAGAAAAACTTGATGTCGTACAAAGACCATGAAAAATTAAATTAAATTATCTGTTAAGAGTACAGGTATTATAAATTTGATGTTAAAAATCTTACGTATACATGTAACTTGATGAGCGGAATATCAAAACAAATTTATGTAACTGAAATTATCTTGGCTTTGGTGTTGGCTATGGTGTTGTTTTTATCACCCAGAACATGTGTAGGATAGCTAATACCTCTTATGCCCATCATATTTCAGTCAATGTTATGTGGAATAGGTACTACACTTCTCACGTTTACCTTCACAGGTTTAGCACCGCTTCATCTGGCTGTCATAAGGAATCAGATAGAAATGGTGAAGGTCCTGATAAGGTGTGGTGCTGATATCAACATTCAGGTAGGTGAAGAAGGAAGAAACTTTACTTGGAAAGGAGTGGAAGATAGGCCACAGAATAGACACTTCACAGTGTGTTTTTTCTTGGGTCATCCGTATAAAATTAAATTAATTTGTCATACGAGGGTTGATCCAAAAGTAATATCACAACTTTGATAAAATTGCTATATATTGACGTAAAGCAACAAAATTACACGTGATGAAAACTTTATTTATTTCAAATCGGACCTGAAAAATTCATAGGAATGTGATGTATACTTTCCAAAATATCAGATTTTAAACAATGTGCCTTTATGGTAGTCGCCGCACCTAAATACAACGTCATATGACGGATACGCACTGTCATACTTTTAAGCGTTTCCCCTTCGTTTCATTAAAAGATATTTGTGATTCGCAAACACTTTCACCAATTCTACCTTTTTTAAAGAATTCTTGGTACCATTATACACTCATTCTTTTCATAATGAAGCCCTCTGTCAAATGTTTTTGAACAGTAGCAGAAGACAAACTTAAAAATTCACATGTCACTCTATACGACTGTCTTTTTTGACAATGTCAGACACCACTGAACGTTTAAAGCATCCGATCTCCTATCTTTTGGTCTTCCTGTCCTGTGCTGATCATTCAGTGAGCATTCACCCGCCCAAAATTGCTAAAACCATCTATTAATTAAGATGTCTCTTTTATTTACATTCTTTATTCTGCAAGACTGATCAATTAACATAACTGTCGCTTATGATGATTCCCAAATTTTGAAGCAAAAATGTATTACAACTCATGGATCCGTTTTTTCCCATTTCAACAATTCTTTTGTTCAATTCAACAGAGTTAAACAACGATGTTTATGATCACAAATACCAATGTCGTAATTCAATTTTCATTTAAAGACTAAAAAATGACCAGAATTGTGTTTTTTTAAAAAAAATTGGGAGATTTGATGCTTTTTTAGAATCTTTTTGATGTGTTTGTCTTTTTCATTCTAAGAAAATATACACTTTAAAACGTGTCGTTCCGTTGTGACGCGGCGACACCCCCCCTATGCTCTGTTTTAAACATTTATAAAATAAATTCAAATAAACATTATTAATTAAATTAAAATTTCAATGTTAATTAGATGTATATTTGTGCTTCTTTTGGTATATTGTAATTGATAATGTGACGCCAAATATAAAAGATATGGACACTGTGACATTACTTTTGGATCAACCCTCGTATATGTCATTCCCCAAAGATGCAAGAATTGTCATCAGGCCATCTTTAAATAATGGTTTGTTTGTCCTTTCCCAACTGACTGACTAGAAATGCCCCAACTAAAAATTTTTTCCAACATCCAGAAAACAAATATATTTTTTGAAATTCGTTTCTAAGTTTTTCCATCCTTTTTATTACCGATTTTATCATAAAATTCAGAAGTGTTTTGAAATGAAATATACCCCCCCCCCACAAACATATAATTTTCATCCTGTGTCAGGAGAGGGCAAACAAACATATTTTCAAAGATCATCCCAAGGCCACCTTATTCATGCACTTGCAAAAAAATATTCTGAAAAAAGCATCATCATAATGAAATTGTATTTGCTGTAAGATAATTTGTAAACATGAGATGAGCATTGTGGTTGTATTTCATATTCAGATGACATTTGCAAATTTTCAGTTGCAACTAGCTAGCTTACTGTATACAGGGAAATTTTCGCCCCTGTTTTATTTTCACCCTTTTCGCCCTAACCTCAGTTGGGCGAATTTAAAAAGGGGCGAATTAAAAAAAAATACAGTAGGAATTCTTATGAATCGTTAGCTATATTCAACTTTATCAATCTCAACACCTTAGCTAATAATGCCAAAATTAAAATTCTAGCTAAAATTTTAGCTTATATACTAGAGATGTGCGATTTTATCGGTATACCGGTATATCACGATTTTTTGTTGGGTGATACGTATCGTGATACGGAGACCTAAATACATGTACAGGTCTTTAGGTACATATTATAAAGTCCAGAAATTATTCATTTATTTGTTCTATCTTTCAAATTACAATTCAGAAAGTATAAAAAATGTAAAAAGTGTAAAGAACGGCATCTTACCATGAAACATAATTGATTTTATATACATAAAAATTTCAAGAAAGTAGAGTTTTGTTTTTCTAGCATATTTTTAGAAAAATAATGACTTTTCATATAAAATCATTGTAAAATATGCTTTTAAAAAATTATCGTGAAACTGTGGGAAGAAATTGTGATATATCACGATATGAAATTTTTGGTGATACCCATCCCTATTATATACCTAGCATATATAACATATATAACATGGCAAAGTCATCCTGTAGGGTGTGCTGATAAATGCTACAGGGCAGTCCTTTTCAGGCGCAGATCCAGGAATTTTTTGAAGTGGGGGGAGGGGATAGTGTACACCCCCAACCCAAAAATTTTTAGACAAATTTTCCCAGATGCAGACATGAAAAGCCTAGGGGGGGCTTTTGTCATACACAGTTGAATTTTGGTATATCTCAAACACTGCTGTCTTGAATACCATGGATTTGTACAAGAGATGTGGAGGTCCCATGCAACCACTTATTCTTTAAATATTTGAACTTATCTTGAATCCACCATAGGCACTCCCTATCTTAATAGTTGTTAAAAAATATACAGCTACTATACTATATATATAAAATATATGTTTATAGTATAGTAGGTGTATATTCTTTTAACAATTAAGATGGGGAGTACCTACCTGGAATCCACGGATATATCAAAAACAACATTTGTCTGTATTAGAAAATTAATGTAAAATTTATCCTTTCTTTAGGATGGTAAAAGCGGAAGGACTCCATTGTTCCATGCTGTAGAAGGGAATCAGCTAAAATTAGTGCTGTTGTTCCGACAGTGCAATGCCAATCTAGAACTGACAAACTATGCAGGTATCACTGCTTTAATGGCTGCCCAGGCCAAAGGCTTCTCGGAGGCTAGCTCTATTCTAATGGTGGGACTGGACCCCAAGGCCATAATAGAACACAAAGAGAAAGAGAAGTTGATGATGCCAAATAAAAAGGTGAGAACAAGTGTACTAAGGAGAACTGTGGTGTGTGTATTCAAACTTATGCGATTTAATATCCATAAAGAAATATTCTTTAATAGATCTTAAAAAGATTAGCTCTGTAAATACACATTACTTTTGATGGTGAATTCTGTTTAATGCCTTTGGTAGAGAGCAGTTTCTGCTAAAATCAAGTACACTGTATATATGTAAATTGCTAAATGGCTTTCATATATACATGAATACATATATCCATAAGTGCATTAAATCAAAGCTGAAAAAAAAAAATTGTCAAAAATGGTACACACTTTGTATACCATATGTACAGTATTTCTTCAAATTTAATTATGTCAAAATATCTCTCTTTTTCAGTGGATGTGGGTGTGAGGAGGAACTTTACTACTATGAGACATGTTTTTGTTTTTTCAGATGCCGATCCCTAGGATACCAAGTAAAGCTCATCTGATTGTGAGTGGAATTCAGAGAGGTGTTAAAAAAGAAAACAATGATAGTGAAAATGAAACTAGTTTATCAAATACTACTGAAGAGACTCAGAATGATGCTAAACCTAAGTTAGAGGGGGGAGGAGCTAATCAGACACTGCCTGAATATATTGAAAGAGAGCAGAGAATGGTGATAGAAATGAAGAAAGACATGTCATCTATAAAGTCAGTTCCAATGGAAGTTGATGGGAGAGAAGTTGTGGAGGATGGAATAAAGCAGATACCTCCTCAATTAACAATGAACATTCCCATTAAAAAGGACAAACCAAAGCGTAACAAACAGAACAAGATGCTTTCTAAAAGTGAAAACATCCAGGGCGGGGATCAACAGACAACCTCCTCTATTGTAGTGCATCCGTCAGACCCACAGAAAGAGACTGTAGATTCTGTAGTAGAGGTTCAATTGATGATGTCCACTGCTGACCCAGTGGTGAATACTGCCAGGTCGATACCTGTAAGTAATGGTCCAATCAAATCTGCTGTTACAACAGAGAATGTAACCAGCATCAACGCTAGGACAGCCTCTTTATTGGCAGCACACCTAAAAAGTGTGAAAAATTCACTGACTAAGCAAAGCTCCTCCTACCCACTTAACCTCTCCTCTAATGGAAAAGAAGCGGGAAGTTTGGAAAAATCAGATAGCATGGTGTCCAATGGATCATAGCATTTTGTATAATATTTAATTATTAATTTTATATTGATTGTTTGTAATTTTGGGAATTTGCAGAATCAGCTTTTTGTGCTGAATAACAATGTACTATTTTGTCACTGACAGCTTTTGATTACTCTCACTTTTTTTAAAATGGTAAGAAATCACCCTCATTTTATAAAATATTTTGAATCAAAATAAGAATTGAAATAAAAAATTCAATATAACTGTGAACCATATTATTAAAAAATGTATAAGTTCTTCAGTTACATATTTTAAAGATATTATGAAGCATTATCTTATCGATAAAGCACATTCATAATCATGATCTTTGCATGTTCAATTTTTTTTTTATGTAAACCCCTTTGAGAAATTCTGTAGTAAAAGTAATTAAGTATGCAATAGGTTTTGAATTTTGGGAATTGAATAGACTTGACATAATTCACTAGATTAGTGGCTAATTCTGAATACACTCTAAATACCTAACTCTCTATTTAAAATGCCATGTAAGGGTTTATGCATTAAAGTTACTTAAAAAAGCATTTTAAACTCCAAAAATCCCTGAAATATTCATGATCGACAAGTTTTATTTTCCAGATTCGGAAAACATATTCATTTATGTTGTGAAACATCTTCTATGATTGATGATTTCATTTCAGCATCTTGAAGAGAGATATATATTTTGTTTTGCTTTCAATAATTGACTGTACATAGGTTGTAGATTCTAATGGGCATTACTGGTCATAAAGAAACCTCACAGGCTTATAATGTTAAGTGTATTTCTTCCTATATCTATAGGCATGCATTTAGCTAGAATAACAAGGTATATTTAAATGTAGATTTTTATATTAAAATAAGAATTTGGCTGAATGATACTGCCAGTGTTTGTATGAAATTTGCATTCTTTAAAATTTAATTTTTTGTATAGTTTGTTATTTTTATGTGTACAAATGTTACATGTTCAAACAGTCTTCACTATTAAATTATGTTACATTGTATTTCAAAATTATGAGTCTTTTATACATAATAGACATTGTTCTTATACCATGCGTTTGTTCTGGAAGATTTTGATGTCTTATCTTATTGACCAGACTTCATTCTATAGATTTATTTTGGATTCTCTTGTAAATTTGGATAACGGGGGTGCTTTTGATTGTTATTCAAAGGGAAAAGAAAAGTTTCTGATAAGAATTGATTTAACGAAATATAAAGGCCCAGGAAGCAAACGATTAAAAGTTATAAACAGGTTACAGTTTCTTTTTCAAATGTAGCTCAACATCCACGGCGAAGTTCATAAGGTTAAAAACAGTTATTGATACTAAAAGAAATGTTCTGTCAGAAAAAATACAAATATAATAATGAAATTCCTTGCACACACTGTTCAAAAGTTCTGGCAAGGCTCAAGTTTTTTTCAAAGATAGGTTAAGATCAAAAGGTCACAAATGTTGATCCCAAAGAAAGATACAGACACATGGAATATGCGTGAAATATTAAAGCTCGTGCCCAAATCTTCCACAAGTTTTGCCCAAGGTTAAAGTTAGGTAGATAATTTTTTTTTGCAGAAGTAGGTCAAACTACAAGATCAAGAGGTCAAATATGATAATGTTGTACTTAAGGAAATGTCTGTCACAAGAAGTATTCTTGTGAAATATAAAAATCTTGGCGCCAGTCATTCAAAAGTAATGGACAAGGTTAAAAGTTTTTGCTAACAAACAGACTAACGAACGAACAAATTAAAAGCTACATACCCCGAATCTTTTATATGAAACATATGGAGAAAACGAACAGTATTCAATATCAAAAGTCCATAAAACAATAAAAAAAAAAAAAAAAAAGGAGGAGCAGAGCAAATACGGACTTCCAAAACATCAGAGGTGAGATCAGGTGCCATGTAGGAGTAAGCATCTCTTGCCAACCATGCAGACCCGCCGTTTGCTCATTGTCATGATCGGGAAATAACAGAAGAATCCGTGGTCAATTCAGTGTATAAATAATGGACTAACAATTAGTTTGGAAAACGTCAGTCAGCATTTGACTCGATGATAAACTGTATTTGCTGACAAGGTCGTTGTATCGACCGTAGAACTTACGAAATGATGAATTTAACGAAACTGCTGATATTCTTGTTTCATCAACTTGTTTGCCCAAAATTTACCTTGTTATAGAAATTGCTCATACCTAGAGCATGCTCTTGCATATCGAATCAACTGGAATATATAAACTCCGTATGCAGTTGATGAAGATATATTGGTGCATAAGTAAGAGAAGCTGATGTTAGAAAAGTTAAAGTCATCACGTTAATCATAGAGCTTAGTTGTTAGATTACCATTAACGTATTTTTCAAGTAAAATATCCAAATATGAAACAGATGTGTCAGACTATGTGGTATCTTTTATCTCAAGGTCACCAGGATATATCGTGTCGACATAAGAATGGAAATTACCATTGTTAATTAACAATACGGGGATAAAATGATATAAATATATAAAAGGGGATTAAATCGAATTTTCATATCTTTAAATCAAACAATTGAATTGAAAGTTATTATTTAGAGCCAGTCATGAAAAGACTCGGATTTCATTTCTGCATACTAATAATTTTTTGCTTTAAATCACGATTCACGAATGTTTACATAAAACACGATTCACACTCTCCCAGAAGACCTCTAATAATTTAATTTGAACAGTAAACCTGCGTTTGGTTTTACACCTTGATTTTTTTTAACCATTCTTAAGTTAGTCCGATCCTTAGGTTCCTAAAATTAGCAATTAAATAATTTCAAAGGCTCACAAAAATATCTCTGAATTCTCAAAGTAATAATGTTTTTACCCAAAGTAATTCTTCAAAGTTAATCATTACAGTTTTTCATATTATATATTAAATAAAATTTCAGGAAATGCGAATAAAAATACCTCCTATGCATTTTCTAGTTGAAAATTGATTAACAAATATATTTTAGGATAGCAAACTATAGGTTTCCAGGCATTTGAAGAAAATGGCATAATTTTTTAAAATACTTATTCGGTACCTTAGTTCTTCTATTACTTCAATGATTTTACAATGCATATGAATTTAATAAACGTTTCCTATCATTGTAAAACACAATAAGACGCTTCTAATTTCATATAATGTCCAAAACATTGTTATCAAAGTCCAAATGAAAACAAATCTGATTTTTTTTAAATACTAGTATGTTGGTTTTAGATACTTTTACGGGGTACCGATATCAGCTTTTTAAAATACCGTTTCTAAAATTTCAAATTTTCAACGACTGAAAATGACCCCCACCCGTAGAAAAAAAATCATTTTTTGTAGAAAAAAAGCCCCGAGGGTCATTATTTTATATGTTAATCCTATACAAAAAATGACCCCCGTTGAAAAATGACCCATTTTACAGTTATCCAAAATTTAAAAATTTGAATTGATGCAAAGCATCAAATCGGCCCTAAAATATTTCATTTTAACATTTTGAAGAATTTTCAGAACAAATTCACAGGAATTTTTTCTTTAAAAATACGATTGTCATGTTCTATGCATGATACAAATCTTTATTTAATTTTTATTATGATCAAATGAAGTAAATGAATCCGTAAATATATAATATAAGATCTATCAAAATAGGATGTTAAAAAATCGTTGTTTCATTTGCAACTAATTAATGTTTTCAAAACAATATCAACTAAAGCCATTTTTCTTAAAACGTGTACAAGTTATTAATTATTTTAGGCACTGTTATTCATATCCGGAAACTCAATACGTTTTGATTCCATGTCTTATGCACGTTCATCATGGGGAGCAGTTCATGCAAGCAACTTTTTATAAAATCAAAAATCAATGAATATATTTTGAGGAGAAATAAAAAAAAATTAAAACCTAATAATGACCATTGAGACAAAGTATAAAGCGAATTTTTAAAACTTTTTTTTCGTAATTTTACTTACATTATCATTGGTAATTTGCAGAAATTATTTTGTTGAAAAACATTCTGATTATACATACAAGTACTCTGAAGTCGACATCAAAAATATGATTAAGTATCTGATTGACAATATCTATGTTGTTTTTGTTGACCAGGTCTTCCAAAAATCTACTGGAATACCCATGGGTACCAATCGTGCCCCGTTATTAACAGACCTTTTTTTGTATTCATATGAAGCAGAATTTGTGCAAAATCTTATGCGTGATAAGAAGAAAACACTTGTTGTGGCCTTCAACTCGACATCTAGATGTATAGACGACGTATTGTCAATTAACAATGGTAATTTTCATTCTTATGTCGATACGATATATCCTGGTGAGCTCGAGATAAAAGATACCACAGAGTCTGGAACATTCTTTTCATATTTGAACATTTTACTTGAAAAAGAAGTTAATGGTTATCTCACAAGCAAGCTCTATGATAAACGTGATGACTTTAACTTTTCTATAGTTAATTTTCCCTTACTCACGCAGCAATATAATACCTTCATCACCTGCTTACGGTGTTTATGTATCTCAGTTGATTTGATACACGTGTATACGAAAGAGCATGCTCTACGTATTAACAGTTTATAGCACGGGGTAAATTGATGAAGAAACAAGAATATCTGGAGTCTCTTTAAAGTCATCATTTTGTACGTTCTATGGTCGATACAATGACTTTGTCAGCAAAGACAATTTAACATTGAGTCAAATGCTGACTGACGTTTTTCATACTAATTGTTAGTTCGTTATTTATACGCTGAATTGACGACGGATTGTTCCGTTATTTCCCGATCATGACAAGGAGCACACGGTGGGTGTGACCAGTCGGCAAGGGATGCTCACTCGATCCTCCATAGCACCTGATCCCATCTCTGATGTTTTGGAGGTCCGTTTTTGCTCTGTTCCTATTCTGTATTTTTTTTATGGACTTCTGATCTTGAATACTGTTCGTTATCTCCATATGTTTTAATCATGACTTTTATGTTTGTTATCAATAAAATATATATTATTTAATCGAGGCATGAAAAAAGAGAAAAACATAAATTTTGCCATTATAATCATATGAAAGGTGGGGTTGGGTGCTGGTTATTATCTAGTGAGCTCATAGTTCGCAGTACCTCTAGTTTTGACTGTCTATGGGTTGTTTAGATACTTTATGTGTACATGTGCTAAGTATAAACATATATAATAAAATGGAATGGTCCTCTATTAATTTTAATATTGTGCTCAGTATGAAGAAAACGTTATAAAAATGAAATCAAATGTTCTGATTTTCATATTAAACACTCTACAAAAAATACACAGAAAAAGTAAAAGGGTGGAATAAAGCAAGATTTAAACTAGAGGTACTTTGAGCACTGAGCTCGCTGAATGACATTTTATTCATTAATATGTGTCAGGTCAAAAAGTAAAGTAGAAGATGCACAATGGCACTATGTAAAAAAGATTCTGCATGTGAAAGTCTCATTAAATTTCATTCAGCGGAATAAGAGGAGTTGCGGAAAAGAGAGGGGTAAGTCTAAGCGTAACAGACAGACGAACATACTGATCGCATATCACCTCCCGCTTTTCTAGCGGGGGTATAAAACTAGTAATATAATTTTGCTTAATTGTCTGTCAGTACGATGATTCTCCTTAATCGAAAAAACAATGTTCACCTAACCCTTTTGGTCTCGATAAATCTTTTACTGCTTTAGATTCTGAATCATCGCATTGACTTTAACATTATAGCGATAATTGTATAATTTAATGAGATCAAGATATCACCAATTTATTTACTATTTAGCTCAGGTGAGTATTTTGGCCAATAGGTCCTTTTTTGCCCCTAAAATTTTTTTAACTTTAATCCACAAGGGAGTCATTATTCTACGGGGTTCATTTTTCTTCACGTGGGTTATGCAAATTTTTAGGGTGAAGACACTTTTTCTACGGGCAAAAAATTCATTTTTCGACGTCGAATAATGACCGGGGGTCTTTTTTTGCCGTAGAATAATGACCGAGAGACGTCGAATAATGACCCGCAGTCAATATTCTA